GCTAATCTATTAGCATCTCTTTTCCCTTCTTGTTACAAGCTCTACAATCTCTTATTTTATTGAAAATGACATCAATTACGTATGGTTTTGATATCAGATTTTAGGTTGAGGCTTTGAATAGCATGCTATACTTTCTTTTACTGAAGCTTCTTTGGGCTTAATGTGTTCCACTTGGTGGATTTGGGGGTTTGCATCTTTATGAGGTGCATGTGCACAGGTGTGATATTCTTCTGCTTCCTAACTCTAATGCACGGTTTTATGCATGTTAAAATGTGATGCGTTGCTTGGATTGGGGCATTAAGCTGGCTTATTTTGTTTTTTTTTTCTTTAAAAAAAGAAAGGGAAGAAAGGTAGGGGAATGTTTCAGCTAGCCTTGGTATGGAGAGGTTTGATAGGACTTGTTACTTTGCCCTCATTCAATTAATTTCTTAGCTTTGATGTTTGCTCTTTTAACCACCTCATATTCACAAATGGTAGCATGGCATGTGGAAGTAAAAGCAGCATGGTAGTTTGGAGGAGCTAAATCTCACATTCATGCTTTATAAATATTGATGCTTCTCTTTTACCTATGTTAGTTGTATTTTCTTTGGAATGTTGGAGTGCCTATTTAGAAGATCCTTTACTTGCTAGCTGTCTTGGTAAAATCTGAGCACTATTTGGTAGTTTCAAACGTGGCTATTTGGGCTAAACCTTGTTGATTTGGGGAGGCCCCCGAGAGGTTCTTTTGTAGGCTTGAAATGTTGGGTTCTTGGCTCTCTAATTGGGCCGCAGTTTTATAATGCTTGGGGAAGTAGTTTGGAACCCCTCTTCTCTTTACTTGTGGCCATATTGCCCATACTTGAGAGGTACATTCCACGGTGTTAGGTTGAGGTAAAACGTATTTTTGATGCAATCCAAATGGTTTAGTGCCTTGTTTCACAAATCTAAAAAAACTTTGCCTTGTTCTTTTACAAAATCTGGAATGTGTGGTGGCTGCGGTTTTGGCCTTGTAGTGGTTCGGTTTTGGCCTTATGGAAAGCTGAATTTAATTATTGTTGGTTTTATGCGAATCTTAAATTCATATATGTTGGGTTCTTTGCAAGTTGGAAACTCTTGTGGTTCTTGATTTGTAACCCTTTGGAAACTTGGGGAACTTTGTATAGAGGGGGAATCGATCTCTCCTCATCGTTTTGCTTATACACCATGCCATTCACCTATGCTTACACATCCAACACATCGGCTTTTACTTCTTGCATACTTACCACTTAACTCTTATGCATTTACATCCATACCATTCGATATTTTCACTATTTTGGAGAAGAATTGGGGTCTGTTCTTGGGTTGATTAACTGCTGATTTGGAAAGGAGAAATGGTGCACTTGTTTTAATGCATTTTGAAGTTTTTCTTTTTAGGCTTCAATGAGGCATTTGATGGTTTATTTAGCTGCAATTTGGGAGGGCTTTTGGCTCATTTGTTTGGGGTTCAAACATGTGCTATTTTGGAAAGTTTGAAATATGTTTGAGGGCTTGTGCTTACTGTTTTAGAAGGTGAAAAATGCCACTTTTGGGAGGGTTAAAATGTTATTTCATTTAGGAAAGGTGGGGAATCACAAAGGCTTGGATTTACGAAAGTTTAGGGAGCTTCTAGGAACATGATTTTTGAGGAATTTCAAATGAGTCTTTCAAATGCACATCGTTGGATGTGGGGATTTATTTTAAATTCGGTTTTGAATGTAGCTTTGAGGGCAAATCCATCCTTTACTATTTTCGTAATTTAAATGGATCAGTCCCTCATCTTTCTCACCCCTTTTTTCTTCTTTTCTTTTCTTGTTTCTTGGTTTGGTTTAGGTGTTTATGTCTGAAACATAAGCGCACATATATGACATTTTGCTATATATGAACCATCAAGCAAGATTGTAAGTAGGTCGGTCTCGGGGTTCAAGGACAATGACGTAAAATGCATCTAGGTATGTGTGAGAAGTTTTAGCACAATCCTGACTCCGTGACCTTGAGAGAATGAGGAATTGACACTACTACACCTCTAATACTTAGTAAATAGTTACCCCTTTCTTTCACAGACAGTGGGAAGTTCCAGCCTACCAATATGCTGACCCATTAACTTTCTAAAGTATGAAAATTTCTTTAAGTAATATATATATGTACATACATAATCAACTAAAAAAAAAATCTTTCATAGTGCATGACAAGTTAAAATTCTTTTCAAAAATGAAATCTTTACTGAATATTTTCTGAAAATTTCACGGGTCAGTCATATGAACTAGGTTAGGAATTACCCTTTTTTGTGACTGTTAGGCCGGCGACCTTTTTTTACCGGCGACCTTTTACTTAGTGTTGGATCACACATACATGGTGTTGATTATTTTGTTAGGGCCCCAGGGTCTTGACTTTGACCTAAGATCCTGATTCTGAGTACACCCCGTCCCGAATGCTTACGATTTTCTCCTTTTTTCGGATACTCCGTGAGTTGTTTACAGTTTTATTGAAATTTTGTAAAACACTCGTAGTCTTTCTTCAGATTTTGCTTGTGTTTTTGATGACTTTCTTTGAGTTACCATGGGTCATTTGTCACTTTTCTCGAGTCTTTCTAGGTGGTGTTTCTTTTTGCTGCCCATGTTTACTTATATAAATGTGATGTTTGCACGTCTCTTAAAGTCTTTTACTATGCTCGTACCTACGACATCAACCACATTTATAGGAGCAACAACCTCTTCAGATATACATGTTTGTTTTACATTTATAGTGTTTTACTTTCTTTACTTGCATACTTTAATGCTCTTTACTGTACATTTACTGCATTTTCTCTACTACTGCTTTTCTTTCACTGCACCTGTTACAGTTACTTTTTACGTATTATACCCTTTAGAATAGGAGGTCAATAGTATGGTTTTATAAGAGATACCCAGTGACAGATCACCGACTCAAAAATTGCATGTACATTTAAACATAAACTAAACATGAAATTGCTACGACGTGGAGCTTGGAACTAACACCGTAGGCAGCACGACGATGATGTACAAAAGAATAACTTCAACAAATCTACAACAACAAACTACTTCTTTAGAATTAAACAACAAGCCATAAGACTTCGAGGTAATCTGCCTAGCGCGACATAAATCTTCACTTTATCTTTTAGGCCTTTGCACAGTCAGGTTGTGCAACTTAAGCTCTAACTCGCTTTAGGTTCCAAGGTTGTTGTCCGATACAACGTAAACTCTCATATCTTCCAGATCATTTGTATGACTGTGTCATACAAATATAAGTTCTAAATAATAAAATTGGCAGGATGAAATATCAAATAATATCTTCTCGAAATTGAAGACAAATAATAGGATAGTTTGGGAAATCACCGAGGTTCGCCTCAAAATCCATGACATCCCCTACTTTTCTTTCCCTTGACTCCAGAAATAAGTGTTCCCATTTGGTCCCTTTCTCACCTGAATTTTCTACATCCAACCTTTAAAACCCCAAATTTTGAATTCATGAAGATAGATACCTCTGATCATCATCGAGAGTGCTCTTAAGTGATTTCAGTTATTTAAGAGATAATAAATTGAAGGGGCTTGACTCTATAGGGAGATTTAAGAACCTATGTAATATAATCCCTATTTAATTCTTAATATTAGATAAGAGAATTTGTCGGTCAATATAAAGGTTCGTAAACTAAAACGGATGTCATAAATTCTTTAATTTATTTAATCGAACCTCACGGATAAGTTATATGTCTATTTCTCATGATAGATATGTCACTTGTAGTGTTGTGCTCGTTTATTTAAACTTGTCTATATGAGATCGGTTCGGTCTTGTATTTTCAAAATTGAACAATATCATTTCAAAATTATATATATAAATATTATATTAAATCAAATACCTTTTTTCCCAATTTTAATGACCGACGATGCCGAAACCCAAGAGTGTCAAAGCTTAAGATCTATGGTTTGCCGAAGCTGAAGTCATCGATTTAAAAAGAGTGTCGAAGTTGAAGCTTAAGCGGACGAAGCGAAGCGTAAGAAACACTCGAAGATGCCACAGAAGCAGCGATGGCTAGCGAAAAAGATCTGAAGAAATAATGAGACGACGAGCAAACGAGAGAGAATCAAAGCAAAGAAATAGTTCCTTCCTTCCCGTCCTGCAAGAAGACCGGCGAGAAGGGAGTCTTGACAGTACAACAATTATCAGTGGTTAAGGGAAAATTTTGGCTCTGATGCCATGTCAAAGTTTTGAGAAAAAAATAGGTTGAAATCTGAATAGGCTCAATGCCTTTTCCCTTTGCTTTCATTCCATTAAATAATAATCTTACAATCTATTTTAGGTACAAAATAAATTGCAAAATCTATTTTAGGTAACTTAATAATACACATTTATAATCTAAATATTCAGTTAAAAGGGAAATAAATCAAAATAAAGATATTGGAAATAAGGAAGCTTCTAATTATAGAAAACTCTTAATTTAGCTGTCTGATTTCCATCCTGATTTACACTGGATACAATAGAATTTTGTAGCTTCATGGTACTGATCATATAAATTGGAAGGTGTTGATGATAGCATTACAAGTACAGACGAGTAATACATGCACAGCTTAATAGTCACCCTTCATTGTCGAAAAAATTAATTAAATCTGAAAGGAGTGTGAATACTCGAGTAATTCTATTAAGAGAATATACCCATAAAATAATCTTTTAGAACCATTTTGAACCTTCTTGATGATAAAACTCAAAGTAATTGTTACAAAGCAAAAATGGAACTGGCCAGAAGAAAAATCAGCAAGGGACTAGCAGCAAGAATTCCCCTATTTCTCAAACCCCTGCCAAACCAAAATCCCTACACACGCAGAAGCAACAGCAATAACCACAACAGATACAAGCAGCAAAAGGAAGAACAAAAAAGTGTACTTTCCTATCAGTCCTATAAAATTCAAATTTCTACAAAATTATATGTACAACGTCGATAGTTAAATTTTCCTTTATAAAAATCAGAAACTACAGAATCAGATAGTGCTTACTGAAAATGCCATATCTCGTATTTGTTCCCTAAATAATGCTTCATCACAATTATCCAAATCATCTGGTAAAGCAATACAGTCCCACCACCTGCAATAAAACATTATGAAATTTGAGAATCAACCGTAATGAATCATGGTTAACAGCATACCGAGAGTTAAGGGCAAAGGAAATGGGTATTGAACAGAGACATAGAAGGTAGAAAAAAAAGGAAAAGAGAAAGAGAACAAACAGCACATTGGGAAAATGAATTGAGATATAGAATGCAGCAGCTCATAAATAATCTTAAAATTAATTTATTCAAATCCTCATATCATAGCCCTAATCCTATTTATGGTAAAGGACTAGAAGAATAATCATGCGAAAAAAAATACATAAGAAAAATATTATCAAATTGTTAAGTCCAAATAATCAAAGAACATATTGAATTTTCCTACAATAAATAAAGGAAAATGGCAAATCAACTTGTGTTGTCAATGTTGATTGTAAGTCCTGCTCAGTTGGGCGTCATCAATTCCCATAGTGATGCAAATGTCAAACTTTATGCTTGTCAGAAATACAAGCTGCCACATTCAGACATGTAAATTAGCATTCTGAGTACTTTATTTGCTTTTAGCTCATAGTTCTCAATTTTTAAATTAATTATTTTAATGTAAACATGCCTTTAAAAATCCTAATGAATAACGGGTTATATTCTCTAATGTCAATGTTCCCCTTGTTCGGTTCACAGTTAGTTTGCTTATTCTCTGTGGACGTTTGATTCATTGACTGTTTTGCTAATTACTATTGACGTTACATATTGTTGTTCCTTCTTGTTGTATTACTAAGACTATTAAATGTTGCTCAAGACGCTGATTTTGGGTGACAAAGCTGCTAATTCACAGTTCCTTGCAGCTAGATCACATGCCAGTTTCGTTCTCTTTTGGAAGTGTGATCTGCGTGATATGGTTTGGGTAAATGTCAAAGGTAATGCTGCCCCTCGCAAAATTTGCAACATTACAGTACTGATTTCCCATAATTCACGACGCAGGCCCCATATCAACTATAAAGAAGTCAGATATTGTATTTGGGAGGATGCCAGTATTGGGTGCTTTTCTTTGATCAGAGTAGAAAATACTTGGGGCTTGTAAAAAAATAATAATTGCCTAATAAATTTTGTATTTCTCTCAATCTTGAATGATAGTTGAATGTGAATTTTTGGAATGTAGTGCAAGTGCTAACTGACATCTTCCAGGGAAATCCATCACTTTGTTTGTCGTAAGGTCAAGTCAAAATTTTGGCGACTACTTGGCTCACCCAAAAAAGATGGTTTCGAGAAACCCAATCAATAAAAAAAGAAAAATAAATAAAATTATACTTCAAATGAATAAAGATAACGGAATACAATGATTTTCAATATTTATAGAAAATTAAAAGAAAAAAGTTATAAAGATGAAGGAAGAATAAGCTAAAAGATGGCAATTTAATTGGTACTTCTCACCTTCTTTTAAATCCCATTGCAATTGGCTTCCAAGCCTCCAAAAGCAAAAAAAAATTAGAATCATCCGTAGAATTGTGCAAGATGGACCTCTTACTACTTTCAAATTGTGATTGCTTCAGTCTCCTATAACGTAAAATTACAAATGAGATCACCTGAAAAATAAAAAACCAATACAGCAAAATGAATGAAGAATCCATTTTGATAGCTGCAAGCTGCAATGCAAAAAGCATTTTTGCTGTCCATAAAACCATTATATTATCTGCAGCATTTATCCCAAAGTTCAGCACACTCTTACAAATGATCTTTATACAGGAATTTGATTTTTTAAAACAAAATATTATAACGAGAAAATGATATAACTACGTTAAGAGAAATTAGCAAGAATTATCAGAGAAAAAAAAAGGAATGCATCAGAAATAAATAAATAAATAGTAAGTATATTTTAATACTCTCAAGTAAAAACCATATGCAGATTTCCGTATATGCAACAAAATGAAAAGTTTAATGGCTTCCTCAAATTATGGGGTTGTTTGTTTGCTGAAAATGAAATGCAATGTAAAAGATTTGCGAAGTACTATAATTACAATGCATTTGAAATGCTTTCGTGTTGTTTGGTTCACTATAAACTAAATGAAGGACTATATTTTTTATGTTTAATTCGAAGTAGATTAAAAACAATGTATTCAAAATATATATTTTTTGTCCGACGACGGAGGGAGAGGGACCAACAGGCATCCGCCAATGATGGGCTAAGACCAGCTGCTATGATGGCAGCAGCGGCCGATAAAATAATTATCGGATAAGTCATTAGTCCCTTAGTAAGTCGATCATTTCGTAGCATGGAGTCAAGTTTGCCACGTTTAAGATAGCAGAGCTAGTGTAGTTAGTCCCTTAGTAAGTCGATCATGTTAGCATTGTCAATCCACATCACGTCTTGATAGAATAAATATACATTATCTCTTGGCACGTCCTGAGCTGGTTGTATATAGATGTAGGCTCCCACAATATAACTCTTGAGCCCTTAAGTTTAGAACACTCTTCTTCCACACATCCTACTCAACGAAATGTAAATGATAAACCAATATGGGAGGAGAGATCAACTCTAGGGTGGACTTTGTATCGGGTTGCACTATTCTCACTAACAACTCAGAAGAGACCTCTGCTTCATTGACAAGACTTGAATCCCACAGAAGAATTTCTTCCCCCATGAAGCTCCTAAGATAAATTTCAAGAGTGAGGTTCATCCCTTCTGTCTGGATGTCTGATGATGAGTAACATATCGAAATAAATCTAACACCTGAATAGCTCTATATCATCTTCCCGACATGGCACAAAAGGCCCCTATTTTTTATGTGTCGGACCTCAGTAGGGGCAACTCAGAAATGAGTCTATAGATCTGAATGGTTTGCTGTTCACTTTTCGTCCTTAAGTAGAAGTTGATCCTCCTCTTTTGTGTGCGCACCGTCTTCAGTATCTATTGTGTCACTACCCACCTTTTTAAGGATGCCCCGCTCAGTTAAACAGATCACCACCGTGGTAATGCAGCTTGATTCAACATGTCCAAATTTGTGGCACTTGCAACACTGTTTGGCTGTGACTGATTTAGGGATGTTGATTGGTTCCACTTGTTCTCCGCTTTGAATCAGTTTTTCCTCTGACATGGTCATCTTGGGTGTTCTCCTGGGTGAAATCTGGCTGTAAGACCCTAAGGTTAAGATCTGCCTGCAAGACGTGGTGGTTGTCGTGTGATGTGGTCTCTGAACTTCTGAAGCTAGAGTTTGAATCTTCTATCCATAGTAAGTTGGTAGGAACTAGCGTTGGATCTCCCGTTTCATCTTCATATTTTCTCATTCTCCATATGATGGATTTTCTCTCCGCCTCCTATGATATTGGATTCTGAAACGTCTTGGTCTTTTTTCATCACTGAAATTCTCATCTTTTCAACTTTTCTATTTTCTCGATCTCGGTCGAGGGTAATCTCTCTGGGTTTCATCCTCAATATCCGCAAGCCTCCGCTGAAGTAGGCGGATCTCTCGCTATGTCTCTTCACGAGTAGACTCAGACATATAACTCCTTGGTGGCAAGGCTAGATTTTAGAGTTGGGAGATGTAAGAGAGTGTAGGAGACTAATCGACAGTGTAGAAAAAATTAATTTTGGGTTGTTGACTTTGGAAAATCAGCCAAGAAAAATTAATGTTGGGTCAAAGTGTGTCTAAGATTTGGGAATATGAAAGAAAATTTTTTATGGAGAGTTATGACAGATGCTAGGAAACCCTAGGATAAGACTCGGGTTAAACTAGCTCTAATATCAAATGATACCGGAGTTAACTCAAACCATACAAAATATAAATATTATTATTAATTCAAATAGGATTGCAACAATGACTTATCACGAAACAGAAATTAGATGATAATTGACATAACAGGACACACTAGGGTGTTGGTGAAGGGGTAAGCGATGATACGCCTAAAAAATGTTCAATTTTTCATATGCTTTTAATGCCTATATTTGGTGATTTTCAATGATATTGCACTTTAAAAGAAGGTATTTTGTATATTTTATGTTTCAGGGCATATTTTTTATTCCAGGGACAAGAAATGGAGTTTTGGAGAAAAAGAAGCAAAAACGGTACAATTTAGAGCAAAAACAAGAAAGAAAGAAAATTCTGTCCTGACACATTTCGATATGTCTTTCTATGTTTAATCTCTTTTACACTTCTCATACATTTTTTAATGAAATTACACTTTAAAGGAAGATTGTTTTTATGTTTATTTTGTAGGTCTATCTATTAGGAACGCAACGCAACTGAAACAGGGCAAAATGAAGCTAAAACAGAGCCAAATAAAGCAAAAACGGAGCCAAATGAAGCAAAATGGTGGAGTTGCGCAGTGGGCGCCGACGGCGCCAGAACCGGTGCCGACAGCTCCAGAGAGCAGAAAACGACGCCAAAACGGCGCTGACACCGCCCAAAACGGTGCCGACAGCGCCCGAGACGGTTTGGACGCGATCCTGGGCGAATTTCTAAAAGATTCAATGTATTTGAACGTTTTTTGGAAGGTCGCTTGAGGCATCTCTTGGAAAAATCGTCCCTATACTATAATAGAGTGTTTTTATGTCAGAAAAAAAGTGGTATGTGTGAGTGAAAAAAAGTGGAGAATGTTTAGAAATCTTAGGATAGGAGTAAAAATGTAGATTTCTACCTTTTGAAGAGATTGGTGAAGGGATTTTGAGAGAATCTGTAAGAGAATGTTCTAGCATTGCATGGATCAGCGGGAGACTTTGTGGGAGAGATTTTCATCTTTCTTTCAAGGGGAAAATGCTAAGTATTGTGTTCTTCATTATCTTATGATTTTGTAAACACTTATCTAGTGGATTTGTTTTGATTTAATGAAGTTTTTCATCGTATTTTCTTCATGTTTTGTGATGTGTTTCTCTTACTCTTTCTTCTTTTTTGGAAATAGTGGCACGAGAAGATTATGTCGTTATTTTTCTTTTGCAATGAGTAGAATTCATGTTTAGGATATTGTGATGCATGCTAAGAAGAAGCTTTAATTATAAATTGAGATGGTTTTTCAACTTCGCTCTTAATTTACTTTTCGATATGACCAATTGAATTGTTAAAATATGTTGTGAAACATATGATCCGGGAAATGGAGTATGAGTTCTACAACAGAGCGAGAATCACATTTAAATCCATGAAGGAGTATTTCGTTCATGAGATTAAGTGCAAATAAATAGGAAAATATACTTTGTTGGGTGTATAATTGGAGATTTCTAGGGTGACAAACTAAAAATCTTCAATTCGATCTTTGTGTTTAAAAACTAAAACAAGAGTTAGCCTTCAGGGGAAGGGAAATGGAAACTCTAGAGTGGGAGCTAGTATCCTCCTAGCCTAACCACGGATTTAGGGACTAAAGCTAAGATTAGCCAATGATTTCCTATAACATTGAATCAGGGTAGAGAATTAAAATTATTTCTATTTGGCACATACAATATTTAATATATCTCATTCATTTACATTATCCAATTCGCTACATAAGAATAGTAGTTTTTAACATCTTAAAGTTCTTCAAACCAACTCATCCAAAAAGGGTTATCTTTAGAATTAACATTTATATTTAGGAATAATTACTATTCATACATTTAACATTCGCATTCAAGAGTAGTTGCTAGATAAAACACCATTTTAATCGACATTCCAAACTAAGGACCAATAATAGTAGACTGGAATTTGACTAAGGACATCTTTCTTCGTTTCCTCGTAGGAACGATATTCGGGATTTAATCAGAAAGTCCTATATTACTTGAAGCAATACATGCACTCGCGTAGAACCCATAGTGTGTGAACTATTTGTTATATTCATAATATTTTAATTTTGTATATTAGCGGCTAAATATGAATTAGGTCAAGTTTTTTACTGTCTTTTGAAAGCTAAATTACTGCGTAATTACGGGTCGAGTCAAGTTTTTGACACCGTCTAAGGGGAATTGAATTAATATAAAACACGCAGAAAAACAACACGCACTAGGGGCGCATCAAGCGACTGCAATACAACAAAAGGGCGACCCGGGGATGTGGCAGTAGTAGGATGACTGTAGAGGGAGTTGTGGTAGCCAGGTAGGATGTTAGAGGGGTTGTTGTAGCAAGGTGTGGCGCTGGAGAGGCTATTGGTAGTAGGTCGAAGTGCGGGAGAAGTTGACATTAGCAGGTCCGAGCGTTTGAGAGGTTGTTGACAGCAAATAGAAGTGTTGGAAGGCTATCAACAGTAGATCGGCAATAAGTCAGAGTGTTGGAGGGCTGTCGGCAATAGGTTGGAGCGTTGGAGAGGCTGTCACCATCAGGTTGGAGTGCGGGAGTGAAACAGGATGGGGTGGGAATGCTGGGAAGACGGTAGCGAGCAGGTGAGTGGAATATGAAGGATAGCTATCCCCGCGAGAGCAAGTTATAGCCGAAACACCCCTCAAACCCTTGGAGAAGATCACCACCTCAGAGGAGCCACAGCCCGAACACCATCTCACCATCGGATATAGCTCTAGAAGGGAAGAGGAGGACGTTAGCAGCTGTCCAAACAACAAACTCAACCAAAAAACTCAACCTAAAGCAAAGAATAACACACACACACACACACACACACACACACACACACACAC